AGAAAGGCCTTATATAAAACCAAAGTAATTGGGTATATTAGTTGTAATTAGTGAAGTAGGCAAGTAATTTATCTGACACCTATTGAAATCCCTGCATTTAGCAAAGTTTTGAACACAGAATACAAATTAAAAACTTCTTCCAGCTCATTTGACAAAACATTTCACAAATTTGTAACTTGAACGATTAAGTAGCTTTACCAAAAAAAAACAAGCAAAACTTACTAAGATTCTCTAACACTATAGTGGATTGGGCTAAATTTTGTAGAGGAGATGCTGCTACACCCTCAGCAGCCCCAGTTCCCAAATCTTTGAATACAACTCATTTGACTAACCATTTTATAAATTGATCACTTGACTGATTAAGTAGTTTTTTAAAAGAAAAAGCTAAACTTAAAGTGATTGTTATAATGACAACTAGCAAACATTATTCATCCTTTTTCATCATTTTGAACAACTATATTTCATTTCCCTAATTTCAATAATATTATACACAAATTCTCTCTCTTTTTTTCAATAATACCAGTATCTTTCAAATAAAAAGTCCTTTCCATATAAACTTGTTATAAAACTTTACAACTTTAAAACAAACATGGAATATAAACTGTGAATTGTTTAAACAATATATCAAGTTAGTGTGGGAAAATTTAAATGTTTATATATCATGTGCAGTAACTCAGAAGTTTAATAGCCTTAAAACTTAAAGATTAATATTTTACATCTCAAAGATTATTTTTGCTGATGTATCACACATTTTTCCAGAGAGAAGCATATTTATAACTATATACAAAATGAAGACTGATATTTTTTGGTAATGACTATGTACAACTTAATTCATCAAGGTAAAATTAATACATGTAACTTCTTTCTTAAGTTATAAATTCCCCAGGATCTATGTTTATCCTATTGACTTAATTGATGTTTGTTTATATTAGAGCAAAGACAAATTAGGCTATCTACTGTGTCCACAGTGGGGAATCAAACTCTAGGTTTTAGCATTGTAAGTATGAAGACTTGCTTTTGTCCTACCAAGGGGCTCTTAAGTGATGATGTCACATAACTCCTATAAATTCCTAAATTTCTTTAAATCACTGGTATTATATAGTAGTAATATGTGTTACAATTGAAATTGTAAATGTGCAGTAACTTAATTGATTGGTCTTTTCATACAACTTAACAATGTTCAGAGACAACAAGGTGCATATTGGTCCATCTAAGCTGTCACATCCTCTAAACTAAACTATTATAAATTTTATAAAAAATATTAAAGTCAGCTCTTATCATTTATATAGTTATCAAGTTTTCTCTTAAATGTACTGCCTCTACAACATCTGATGGTAACCCATTCCAGAGGACAACCTGCCTGTTAGATAAATAAAACTGTCTTAGCAGAAGACAACTCCTACTTGCCAAAACTTGTATCTGTGTTCCCTAGTCCTACTATTCATGCTGTTAAGTATGAAAAAAAAGATGATGCATCAACATTATCAATTCCATCCATCCCAGGCACCATTTTAGTAACCCTACTCTGAACCCTTTCCAACAATTCAATGTCCT